AGGAGCGAGCTGGACGCCACTGTGGGGCTCTAAGAGTCCTGAATTCTTACTGGGTTGGTGAAGATTCCACATACAAATTTTTTGAGGTTATTCTCATTGATCCATTCCATAAAGCTATCAGAAGAAATCCTGACACCCAGTGGATCACCAAACCAGTCCACAAACACAGGGAGATGCGTGGGCTGACATCTGCAGGCCGAAAGAGCCGTGGCCTTGGAAAGGGCCATAAGTTCCACCACACTATTGGTGGTTCTCGCCGGGCAGCCTGGAGAAGGCGCAATACTCTCCAGCTCCACCGTTACCGCTAATATAAGTAAAGTTTGTAAAATTCATACCTAATAAACAATTTAGGACAGTCTTGTCTGCTTACAGGTGTTCTTTGTCTGTTAAAATTAGTCTGCTGATTGTTTCATGAATGCTTTGTCAAATTAAGAAAGTTAAAGTGCAATAATGTTTGAAGACAATACGTGATATGGTGTATGTTGTTTCTAATAAGATAAACATTTTTGTCTTTGCTTTATCTTATTAGGGAGTTACATGTCAGTGTATAAAACATACTGTGTGGTATAATAGGTTTAAAATAAACTCTTTAAAAGAAGAGTACTGAAAGTAACCCTGTAGATTTGTCTGGTGCATGTGATGAAACCTGCAGCTTTATTGGGGTGATGGCAATCCTCTGCTGGTTTAAAGTGGCTGGGATTGTTTTTTAGTTTGGCAGGTACAGGCTTTTTAACTTGAGCTTTGCTTTAGAAATTGTAGGGTGAGAGGAGGACATCTTAACTATGTCATGATTGTATTTAGAAAATTAGGGGCGCAAATCTGGGTTAGCCTGAAGAAAATTGCCTCAGTCTCCACAGTACCATTTTAAGTTCACGTAAAAGGTGAAAGCTCCTGATTCAGTGCCGATGGCTTCATGGCATTCATTGGTTACTGATAATGGTATTAACACTGATGTGTTTTGAAGTTGAATGTTAGATAAAATTACTAGCCTCAAAGTTGGTAAGCTAGTAATCAGCGCTAGGGTGGGAAGCTGGCCAGCCAGTGACCATTAGATAAGTATCTTTCAAGTGTGAGCTTAGACGTCAACCGTAAAATACTTAACCATAACACTAATTTGTGATCATGAATCCCTTCAGTCACATTGGTGGGGAAAATAATTGGCTATAAGTTCCTCATTCTTCCTCCAGTCAGTCTTAAAAATAACGGGTTACCCCCCCCCCCGTCCACTCCCATAGGCTTAAGGAAAAGTCATACAAGTGCATGGTTTCCAGCCGTATGTGTTTTTTGCAGTTATTTCTCTTGTTCCTGGCCAAACTACCCTAAAAATCTTTAGCATTCCACAAAGCTGGGCCATCGCCTGTGCGCCTGCTTTGGCTGTAAGCAGTACCACCCCAGTGCATTTTTGTTTGCATCATGTCTCTCCGGAGGCTAGGCTACTGTTTTCCAGGGTGAATTTGAGTGTCAAAAAAAAGGTAGACAAGGAATTGCCCAATTCTAAATTCTGACTGCTGACTTAATTTAAATGCTTATTTTTCTGAACCCGGTTTTCTCCTATCTTCTCTAGGGGTTTCAAAAGGCTCAGTTAATTGATTTCCAGGAGGTACTCAGCAAGTTCATAAAAGTTCTTGAGACCTAAATTTCTTCTCAAGAAAAGATCTTAATACATTTTGATTGTGTAGAGGTTCAACTAAAGGAATAAATGTCTATTAAACTAAAACCAATGGACCTTCTGTTATTTGTCATCTTCTAGTGCTAATGTATTTTGAAGCAAACCTAGCCAGCGAAAAGGGATCAAAATGTGATTGTAGAAATAACATAATTTGAGGTAGCTGAAATGTACTTATTTTCTCAGTTCTTCCATCATTGCATGAATTTAAGTTTTTTATTTTTGAGACAGTCTTGCTCTAAAGGCTGAAGTACAGTGACATAATCTTGGCTCACCGTAACCTTGCCTCCTGGGTTCAAGTGATTCTCCTGCCTCAGCCTCCCAAGTAGCTGGGACTACAGGCACGCGCCACCATGCGCAGCTAGTTTTTGTATTTTTAGTAGAGATGGGGTTTCACTGTCTTGGCCAGGCTGGTTTCAAACTCCTGACCTGATGGTCTGCCTGCCTTGGCCTCCCAAAGTGCTGGGATTATAGGCCTGAGCTACCAAGTCCAGCCTAAGTTTTCATCTAAAACTGTTCAGCTGGGTGTGGTGACTCAGGCCTGTAATCCCAGCACTTTGGAAGATGAACTGGAGGATCTCTTTGAGGCCAGCCTGGGCAATATAGTGAGACCTTGTCTCTATTTTAAAAAAAAAAAAAATTCCACATAGCTAAACTAAGAAGGAGAGAAAGGGCTACAGCCAAAGGTCAGCATTGTCTTATCACAAAAGCTTGTTCCTTTCCTTGCTACCCTACGGTTTTATCTCCACACAGTACACCAAGGGATCCTGTTAAATTAATCATAGCACTCCTGTGGGGGGAAAAAAAAGTTCTTACGATAGATTTCGTGATCTTCCCACTTTGTACGTGTTACCTCATGTCCTACTGTGGTCCTCACCCCAGGCTCCTTGCTGTTCTTCAGATACACCAAATACTTCCTAATGCCTTTATGATGGGAAAACTTTCTTCCAGTATTAATGCTCACTTTACTAGCTATGCCCTGACCACTTCTCAAGCTGTTCCCATTTGCTTTAATCTTTTTTCTTTTTTTGAGACAGTGTTGCTCTTGTCAC